CCCTTGAGTCCGCAGGCCGACGCTCTATCCACTGAGCCAAACCGGTTTTTATTTGAACCAAACTGACAACACATACCTGGGAGCAAGATCTCAAATAGCTCTGCGTCAGTTGCTTTTTGAAAATTCCCTGTTTGATCTTTCAGATTTTCAGCTAGATGGCATGATTATTTATTGTTATTATTTTTTTAAAAATATATTTATTGATTTTTTTAAAAATATATTTTTATTGATTTCAGAGAGGAAGGGAGAGGGAGAGAGAGATAGAAACATCAATGATGAGAAAGAATCATTGATTGGTTGCCTCCTGCACGGCCCCTTCTGGGGATCAAGCCTGCAAGCCAGGCATGTGCCCTTGACCAGAATCGAACCTGGGACCCTTTAGTCTGCAGGCCGATGCTTTATCCACTGAGCCAAACCAGCTAGGGCTATTTTATTGATTTTTTACAGAGAGGAAGGGAGAGGGATAGAGAGTTAGAAACATGGATGAGAGAGAAACATCAATCAGCTGCCTCCTGCACACCCCCTACTGGGGATGTGCCCGCAACCAAGGTACATGCCCTTGACCGGAATCAAACCTGGGACCCTTCAGTCTGTAGGCCGATGCTCTATCCACTGAGCCAAACCGGTTAGGGCTATTATTATTATTCTTAATCCTCACTCGTGGATATTTTTCCACTGATTTTTAGAGAGAGTGGAAGAGAGAGAGAAAGACAGAAACATCGATGTGAGAGAAACACATCGATTGGTTGCCTCCTGCATTCATCCTGACCAGGGGCTGGGCCGGGGAGGAGCCTGCAACCAAAGTACATACCCTTGACTGGAATCAAACTCGAGACCCCCTGGTCTGTAGTCCGACACTCTATCCATTGAGCCAAACCGGCCAGGGCTGTTTTTTATTATTTAAACTTCTAAATATTCACACAACATATTCTTAATCTCACCAGAGGCCATGACAATGGGCAAACTGCACAAAGAGATTGGTCATCTGATTGTTCAGTCTGCAGAAGATCCAGAGAAATCGGACAGCCAAGTTATACAGGTAACTCCTTACCCCGACGACTTACTCCGTTCCTGACCTGTGTTGCTGGGTCGTGCGCAGAGCTGCTCCTTACCTGCTGTGCACGTGACAGAGGGAAGTGACTGGGAGAGACCAGCGGGCAGATGCTCATGAAGGTTTGCAGATGGACCTGCTGGAATTGAACAGGCGGGGGCTGCCATAGCCAATCAGCTATCAGTCTCTGAGGATAAGATCTTTATGGGGGGGAGGGGCTGGGCTGGTGCTGAAGCCAAGCATTATGGTGAGAAACGTAACTTCTAAGTGGTGTGGAATGATGTTCTGGACTGGCCAGGGCATTCTCTCCTCCTAGCAGAATTTTCATGGGGAAACACATTGTAAAGAGAGGTTGCTGTGGAGCATGGGGAACCAGATAGAGTGTCTTAATCCAGCTGTGATGTGACGTCTCCAGGACATTGAAAACGCAGACCCTGCCAAGCTCCGCAGACTGGTGTCGCACGCCACAGGGCTAGCTCCTCTGTGCTCTGCTTGGCAGCTGGCGACAGTGCCATGTGCACCCTCTCCTCTCCCCTTGCCAGATTGGAATGGCAAATGGTTGTTGTTGTTTTTTACTTTTTAATTGATTTTAGAGAGAGGGGGTAAGGGAGAGAGATAGAGATAGGGATTGATTTGTTGTTCCACTTATTTAGGCATTCATTGGTTGATTCTTGTTTTGTCCTAACTGGGGAATCGAACCTGCAACTTTGTTGTATCGGGACGATGCTCTAACCAACAACTACCCGGCCAGGGTCAAGTGGTTTATTTATGCCTCTCCATGTGGTGTAAGCCCCTCCTCTGCACGCAGCTAGGCCGGCCTCCACCCCTCTGTCTGCTGCCAGTTTGCATTGTGTCCCTTTCCAGCAACTTGCTCCTCTTCTGCAAAATACACTTGAGCCTCGCCTCTCCCAGGCCCTGCCTCATCTAGACCTGTCTCCAACGCTGGGGGCCAGGGGCCTGGAAAGATGGTCTCCTCTCTGAACCCTACCTCGGGGCCTCATCTGATGTGAAGGCCCTACTCTTCTGGTTGCACCTAGCTCTTTTCTCCATTCATTTACTTAAGTGGTATTTATCGAGCAACGACTGTATGTCAGGCATTGCACAGGGCAGTGCAGGGCAGTGGCGAGCAAAGTGCCTGCCCTTGTGGCCTGTATTTGAGCGTAGATGAAGAGAAAATAATATAAGTAAGAAGATCATTGTGAGCCTCGATAAATGAATGCTGCGACAGAAACAAGGGGCTGAGTATAACAGATAGGGATCAGATGGCTCTCGGAGAAAGGGACGTGAGCTAGAGGGTGCTGAAGGGCGAGGGGGGCCGTCAGCAGCGCTGTTCTTTATATTCAGTGCTGGTGGGCCGTCCAGCTGGACAGGAGGAGTGGGTGGGTTTTGTCCCAAGGAGCTGCCCATCCATCCCTCTGTCAATATTACAGTAAAAATACTGACTCTACATTGTAGAGTTGGTGAAATATGTAAATTTGAGTTTTGAATTAGTGTTTTTCATTGGACTAAAAGTGATACAAGATTACTCAGTATAATGTATAATGAATGTGTCCGGCATGTTGTAGAGATACACACACACAGACACACACTAGAGGCCTGGTGCACGGGTAGGGTCTCTAGGCCTGGCCGGCGATCAGGGCCGATCTGTGGGGTGACCGGTGGGGTGATCCACCTTGGCTGGCCTGGCGCCACCTGCTTGCCAGCCAGCCCCACCCCCCACCACTGGTCGTTTCCCTCTGCAGGGTGACCAGCAGGGCGATTGGGGGCGGGGGGCCTTACTGGCACCTGCCTTGGCTGGCCTGAGGCCTTCGGGCTGGGGGCAGCTCCTGTGTTGAATGTCTGCCCCCAGATGGTCAGTGCGCATCATAGTAACCGATCATTCCACTGGTCGTTCCGCTGTTCGGTCGATTTGCATATTAGGCTTTTATTATATAGGATATATTTTAATCCTCACCTGAATAATGAATGTGTCCGGCATGTTGTAGAGATACACACACACAGACACACACTAGAGGCCTGGTGCACGGGTAGGGTCTCTAGGCCTGGCCGGCGATCAGGGCCGATCTGTGGGGTGACCGGTGGGGTGATCCACCTTGGCTGGCCTGGCGCCACCTGCTTGCCAGCCAGCCCCACCCCCCACCACTGGTCGTTTCCCTCTGCAGGGTGACCAGCAGGGCGATTGGGGGCGGGGGGCCTTACTGGCACCTGCCTTGGCTGGCCTGAGGCCTTCGGGCTGGGGGCAGCTCCTGTGTTGAATGTCTGCCCCCAGATGGTCAGTGCGCATCATAGTAACCGATCATTCCACTGGTCGTTCCGCTGTTCGGTCGATTTGCATATTAGGCTTTTATTATATAGGATATATTTTAATCCTCACCTGAGGATATGTTTTTACTGAATTTTTAAAGAGAGAGAAAGAAAGGGAGGGAGAGAGAGAGAAACATGGATCAACCGGGGATCCCACCTACAACCTGGGTCTGTGCTCTGACCAGGAATCTAACCCGAGACCTTTCAGTGTACAGGACAACATTCCAACCAAGCGAGCCACACCGGCCAGGGCCAAAAATATTGGAAAGGGTAATGATGTCAGCAGACCAAGAAAAGGACATGACTTTGATGTGAGCTCTGGGGAGGCCTCAGCCCTCCAAGGGAATGTGAGTCGGTGACGAGGAATAAAGCGCAGGTGGCAGGCGCTGGGTTTCTTATCCCAGGCAGGAGGTCTGTTCTAGAAACGATAGCAGGCTTCCTCCAAAAGCTAACCATAGCATTACCATACATCCGGCAATTCATTTCTGGGTGTTTATCAAGAAGAATTGAAACAGGGACTCAGATATTTGTACACCCATGTTCATAGCAGCACTGCTAACAGCCAAAAAAGGTGAAAATAGCCGGATGTACATCAATGGATGAATGGACAAACAGTGTGGTGTATAGGAACCGTGGAATATTATTAAAAGGCATTAAGTTCCAAATGGGTGAACCTTGGAAACATTATTCTAAGTGAAATAGCCAGACACCAAAGGACATATGTATGATCCCACTTCTATGAAATACCCAAATAGGCAAATTCAGAGAGGCAGAAAAAATTATCCGTGATATTGATTTTTCTGTTAACTTTGTTTCACTTTTTCTAATTTATAAAGTTAATTTGATATACTTTTAAAAATAGCAGGAAGAATTCCGTTAAAATGCAACAAACTACTCATTTTTCAGTGCTAACGTATTGCATATTTTCCTGTTTTTATTAAAGGACATTTCCCTAAAAACAAAAGAAATCTTCACCAACTTGGCACCCTTTTCAGAAGTTTTAGGTGATGGAGGAAAGCGTGTCCTCAATCTTGAGGCTCTAAAGCAAAGACGATTCCCACCAGCGACAGAAAACTTTCTGTACCACCTAGCAGCAGCCGAGCAAATGCTGAAAATCTGACTGTCAGGATGGTATCACTGAGGACACGATCACCCACTAACTATGTATAATACTGAAAATAACAAAGAAAATGGTATATTTTAATGATTTATTTGAAAGTATTGAGATTTGACCTGAAAAGCACTGAAACATAGCAAAACACTTGATTTTCTCTATCTGATTAGTTTCACACCTGTTATCCATGTTGGACAAAGTGCTGTAACTACCACAAATAAGTTATAAAAAGGCCTGATGTGCTGGAGTGAGAAAAAGGCTCTGTCGAGTTCTCGTGTAAGTCACAGCAGATCCGAAAGCCTCCATGATTATAATTTCCCGTTTGTCTCATTGTGTCGCCACAAACTAACGATTTATTTTCAGAAAGCTGCCTGAAATGTTGCTTTGTATTCTTCTAGGAAGAACTTTAATTCCTCATGAGGAACTGTACTTTCTGAGCCAAACTACTAAGTTTTCTGCAGGACTGTCTAGAACAGCTTCGGCTGTGTCCAGCGGTTCTCAACCTGTGGGTCGCGACCCCTTTGGTGGTCGAACGACCCTTTCACAGGGGTTGCCTAAGACCATCCTGCATATCAGATATTTACATTACGATTCATAACAGTAGCAACATTACAGTTATGAAGTAGCAACGAAAATAATTTTATGGTTGGGTCACAACATAAGGAACTGTATTTAAAGGGCCAGAAGGTTGAGAACCACTGGTCTAGAAGATCATTCAAAAGACCCTGCAGTTGCACTTTCTTGTAAAAGAAAAATTTTTTTTCTTGGCCTTTGACCATTTTACCTATATTATGAGGGTTTTGCGTAGATTTTATACTTGAGTAGACAACTTTAATAATTCGTATTTATATTCTCTCAGAGGTAAGCATTTGGCAAGCTGAAGCCATCAGTGCTCTTCAGTTCACCTTGTTGCTAGCAATATTACTTTGAAAGATGCCAGTCCTTATATAGCAGAGTAAAGCAAGCAGCCCATTTTGAATATTAATGTCTATAACTGAACTAGCAACTTTCACGATTGGTAAGGGAGTCTAAGAATTAACTGCCTGCAAGGGCAGAAACCAGAGGTCTTCAAGTAACTCCAGTAAAAAGTGACTTGGCCACATAAGAAGTTCCTGTTCCTGTTCAGCTGTGTACCTTTCTCATCATAGGAGACCTAAAAATTGCAAAATAAGCAGGTTATGTACTTGTTACTTTATTATATGTTTTCATATTAACCCTGAAAGGTTATTTTACAGTCAGTCCTGTTGTCCTTGGAAATCTTACTCAGAAAAAAATGTTTGCAAAAAATCTTGTCTTTATTGGGATCTTTCATTTGTTAAGTAAAAAGTTTAAAACAGCCCTTTCTCTTCCTCCTTGGGTAAGGGTGGACCTGAAATGAGGTTTTGTTTACTAAGGCAAACAATTTAAAATTAATTCTGCACTTTATGAAAATGAATACTAACATCTTTTTCTCCCTCATTTTTGTATTACTGCATTAGCTAATCAAAGTTGTTAAAATTGCAAATGTATGATGCAGAAATAAAATGGAAATATTTTGATATTCAACCATATTTAGGTAGATGAAAAATTGTGTCCTTTCTCTAATTTTCCCCACTCCAAAAAAAGCAAAACCTTCCAAGTGCAGGTGTGCTGGGCGGTTATTAAAAGACATCTTTGAAAGTGAAGGGGGTCCAGGCTCCTTTCCTCCCACCTGTACGTCCTCCATTGCCTGTTCCTAGAGCAACCAACTTCAAGGTGCCTCCTTGAAAAGATGCCCTCACCTTTCCACTCTCTTCTGTAGTGGGTGAGCTTCATCTGGAGCCTTTGTACATTTTGTTTAGTGTAAGCCTGGGGATACACTGAGACATCTGGTAAATCAATTTGACTAATTTTATCCTTTTAGGCTGTTGTGAAACCCTTTTTATCAAATTTGGAGATAAGCATCATTCTGGCCCAGGGAAAACTGAAAGCCAGATACATTCTTTGATGATGTGGGCAGGGTGTGTTGGAAGCATTCCTCCAGGATGCAAATGTTTGGGTACCTACTCTGCACAGTGCACTGTTGTACCCTAGGGCTCCCTTGATGTACAAGGCAGTTCTTGCTCTCAAGGGACAGTCTACAGGGGCACTGGGTCTGCAAACAGGCCACTGCACTGTGGTGTGGCAAGTGTTAGACACAAATGCTGGGAGCACAGGAGAGGCACCTGATTGAGCACTGGGAATCCTGGAAGGCTTCCTGGAGGGAGTGACTGAAGTCCAAGTCAGACCTGAAGCATAAGTAGGAGTTGATCCAGAGCAGAGGAAAGTAGGTGTGAAGGCCCAGAGCAGAGAGAACACGGCCTCTGAGGAGCTGGATGTTGCTTCAGAGTGAAGAAAGGGGGCGGCAAGAGACGAGTAAGGCAAAGGCTCTTCCTTGCCTGCACGGCAAGGAATTCGAACTTGATCCTGAAGTGCTGAGAACCCACTGAAGGCTATTAAGCAGGTGTGGTGTAGAAGGGCCACCTGGAACCTGGACGGGCAGCCAGACAGAAATGAGGCGAGTGTTACCAGCAGGGGGTGCTGCTGGACTGAGCTGGCAGTAGCAGTGGCCACGGAGAGTTCTTGAGATGACTTGAATGGGAGTGGGGGAGGGTGCAGTCAGAGGAAAGTAGGTGTGAAGGCCCAGAGCAGAGAGAACACGGCCTCTGAGGAGCTGGATGTTGCTTCAGAGTGAAGAAAGGGAGTGGCAAGAGACGAGTAAGGCAAAGGCTCTTCCTTGCCTGCATGGCAAGGAATTCGAACTTGATCCTGAAGTGCTGAGAACCCACTGAAGGCTAGTAAGCAGGTGTGGTGTAGAAGGGCCACCTGGAGCTTGGACGGGGAGCCAGACAGAAATAAGGCGATTGTCACCAGCAGGGGGTGCTGCTGGACTGAGCTGGCAGTAGCAGTGGCCACGGAGAGTTCTTGAGATGACTTGAATGGGAGTGGGGGAGGGTGCAGTCAGGGTGACGCCAGTGATCCTGTCTGATGCAACTGTGGTGGTTCCACTTCCTGAGATTGGGAGGCCTCAATGGGCACCCGAAAGTGCAGGGGGCAGCTGGGTGTGAGCCTATGGCCAGGGCACAGTAAACAAGCCCACAGGCTGGTCGAGCAGCCAGCAGTGTCAGCGCAGTTTGGGGGGCATGGCTGACAGCACTCAGCAGAGTAGGAGGAGGGGTGGGAACAGGGAGGTAGACAATATTTGAAAAAGTGGCTACGAATGAGGGTTTTGCTTTTTTTTTTTTTTCCTCACCTGAGGATATGTCTATTGATTTTAGAGAGAGAGGAAGGGGAAGAGAAAAACACTGATGTAAGAAACATCGATTGGCTGCCTCCTGAGGACCCAGCCCACAACTTCTTGGTGTTTGGGACGATGCCCCAACCAACTGACCCACCCGGCCTGGGCGGGGGGTTTGCTTTTTTAATGAGACAGTGAGTCAAGCAGCTTAAATATTACTGGGAAGAAGCAGAGGGTGACCTTGCATGCAGGAGGGGAGGTGGGGTGCCGGTGGAGGAGGGCCTGCAGGTTTGGTGCCAGAGGTTCCAGGGCTGCCAAGAGCCTTGCTTTTTCCTGCGAAGCAGGAGACAGGGTTGTTTGCCAGTGAAGAAAAGGAAGGAGCTGGGTGGCAATGGCAACGCTTTTAGGTAGCCGTCCAAATGGGAGTGGGCCGAGTAGGGAAACAGGGTTGCTCTGGAGTTGGGGGCCTTCACCAGCTCACCCGAGGTTCATGTTTACCCCGAGATGAGCCATCCATGGAATGCCTGTGCCCTGGGCTCCATGGATCTTTCTTTTCTCCAATACTCAACTTCAGACCAGTTTATTAGTCACCTCACCGTGCCCGCTCACAGGCTGACACACAGGAAAGGGATCTTCCACCACCCAGCCCTCAGCAGTCCCGGTGGGGAGACAGGACAGCTCCCCGCGTCTCTTCTCCCATCCAGGCTGGAAGCCCAGGCACGACCGGCCTCGACTAGGTCCTGGCATGTGTGGCTGGAAGCCATCCTGTCTGCGCAGACGCCTCGGGGGTTCCCAGGAGACCTCTGGCACAGTTCTCGAAACTGAAACCTCGAGAGGAAGGTTAGGAATCAAACAAGTGCACCCAGAACTCACCCCTACACCCCTCGGTTATAGAAGAGTTCCGTTTCTTCTGTCGCAGACTGAATTTCCTGTTCGAGTTTACTGCACTGTATCTGAAAAACAAAGTTAAATTCTTTATATTTATAGTAAGAACTTTTCTTACTTTAGAAGCCAAGTTATTTTTTTAAAGACATTTTCAGAAAGCATTTATTTCACAGTCCAACTTTTAGTCAATTAAGTCTAATTTAGAGCAAAAAAACATAACCTCTTAAAAACATTCTTCTGGAAAATTTCAAACATAAGCAAAGCAGAAAGACTACAATAAGCCCTCATGTCCGCATCACTCAGCTTCAACCATTAACAATCTGCCAATCCCACGAGATTTGAAAGCTGCTGTAAGTGACTGAACCTGCTGATAAGCCATCCACTCTGCAGTGAGTGCAATGCAATCAGAAGGAATTACTTGCAAAGGGTTCACTTTTATTGCAACCTCATTGTGACAAAAACTATTCTAAAAGGACTGTGAGGATTCGAAAGACTTTTCCTTCTGTTTTATCTATTTTAATGAGAAGCTACTCTTCTCTACCCCTTGTCCCTCACCACCTCTGTAGGACTATAGCAACGATCTCAAATAATTTAAAACTTTTATGCTATGTGCTAGCAAAGTTGCCTGAATTAACGATTACATAAGCCTAAACTTAGAGAATTGGGTTGTGAATAAAAGCATTCCATAAATATACACCGTGGGGCAAAAGGAGGTTGACAGTTGTTCGTATGGAAATAAAATAATAAATAGTAATGTAAGAATAGACTGTTTTGTGTACTCAACTGTAACCTTACTTTTGTCCCACACTGTAAATGCTATGAAGACACACTTGATTTTTTGTTGTTGTTGTTAATCCTCACCTGAGGATATTTTCCCATTGATTCTTAGAGAGAGTGGCAGGGAGGGGGAGGGACAAAGAGAGAGAAGCATCAATTGGTTGCCTCCTGCCTGCACCAAACCAGAGACGGGGATTGAGACTGCAACCGAGGTACATGCCCTTGACTGGAATTGAACCCAGGACCCTTCAGTCCGAGGGCCGATGCTCTGTCCACTGAGCCATGACTGACTTTTAACTTCAGTGACAGAAAACAAGCATTTGAGATTTTCAGCCAAGAAATGCCAGAAATCCCTAACATCTACTAGATCAGCAATGTCCCTGGGACCAGGAACAGAGATACTATTACAGCCCTCTC